ATCCTGCTTGTTTTACTAACATGAGCTGATCTCATTCTCAACAAGTAGTCTTCAGTCAGATAACTGGTGAGGAAGCATAGACCAGTGGTTAGGGCTTGGGAGAGGTGGGATTAAATACCTGGTTCACCACAAACTTCCTACGTGTTGCTGGGTGGGTCATTTGGCCTCTTTGTGCCCAATTTCCGATAAGTAAAATGGACCTGATAGTACTTCCCTACTTTTAAAGGGGTTCTGTGAGGATAAATATACACACAGTTTGAGGATCTCAGATACTATAGCAACGGGGACCATATTAGGGCCTAAGATAGGCTTTCCCTGGTTCTAACTTGCTCAGTTCACAGGTAAGGTTTGACTGTTTGTAACCAATATCAGTTTTATCAAAGAAAGATGGTATGGTAGAGTAGATCAAACCCTCCAACAGATAGATAGGAAAGGGCTAAAGTGTATTCCCTGGGCTCAGTTAGCCCTACCTCACTACACCTGTGCTGAGTTCCCAGCAGTGGATAGCTCTCTGAGAAGGGGAGCAGACAAGCTGCTGCTGTGTGAGTTAAGGAGCCTGGCTGGGACCAGAGACTGCAGATGGTTTGTAGCTTGCCTTGGGGGGAGCTTGGCTTCTCCTGGATGACTGATTAGAGAAGAGCCATAGAGTTGGGTGTTAAATGGGAAAACAGGCTGTTCGTGGCTGGGATCCTGCCTGTGAGAAGGGGGGGCTGAAGTCTGAGCCTGGCAGGGCTGAGAATTCTCTTGTTTGGTATGTTTATTGGATTTGGACTAAGTGACTCTGCTACCCCAGAGAGGGTTGAATGCTTTAGAGTCAGGGCTGGTCTTACCGTGAGGCAAACTGAGGCGGCTGCCTCAGGTGCCAGACTGTGGGGTGCGCGGGGCGCCACGAGGACCCGGAGTGTAGAAAATTGTCTGCTGCTGGTGCACATGTATTCTCTCTGCTCGAGATGCGCAGAGATGGTGGAGTGCTGTGCAGGAGGAAGGAGGGCACAAGAGACAAAACAGGCAGACAGGCGAAAAGGTGAGAGGGAATAACAGAAAGCTGCAGGGAGAGAGAGGAGGAGCTGCCTTTTATGTATCTCTCTAGCACCCCCAGGAGCCTGGACTGATTAACACCAGCTTCTCAGGGAGCTTCCTGTTTCCTGCAGCTTCCCTGAACCCACTTGAGGAGAACAGTCAACTGAAGTAGTAGGAGCCAGTTAGGCCCTTCAGATGCTGATATCTTCCCTCACTCAGGCCCTGCTACCAGCCTGCTTATTTGTCCCCCTCAATTGAGTGTTGAAAGCCACTCTAGCTGGCACAGAACAGCAGTCATGAGTGAAAGAAGAAAACGCCCCTCTGGGGCAGCATTCAGAAGAAGAAAGCAAGCAAAGGAAGCTTTCCTATCTAAGTAGGAAAGAGCTCTCCTGAGATACATAGACATACATGTTCACGGTGAGCCTTCCGTCCCTAGTGAGGATGTGAGTGATGAGGACATGCCTGATCTTCCAGTTAGTCAGAGTGCAGGTGACCTGGCAGCTACTGCAGCATCCATATCTCCATCTCAAATGGATATAACCGTGCACATGCTGAAGAAAAGTGTAGATCAGAGAAGAGTGTGTTGGAGGCATTAAAAAACTGCTGCTGCTGAGTTTAGTTCCTTAAGTCTAGATGATCCAGGACTATGGACCCACTTAAGCAGTAGCCTGAGGGACTTCCTTGTACTGCATGGGCCACAGCAAGTGAAAAAACTTCGTTCCCCAAAGACAATGAAAATAGAAGTTGCCATCCAACACATTATTGGCGTGAAATCCCTAATGGTGACAAAGGGGAGAGGCCATGGCTTTTGTACTCGAAACCACAGAATGCTGCATACTGTTTGTTGCAAACTCTTCCAGTCTAATGTTCCAGCCACATTGGGTTCTACAGGAACAAAGGACTGGAAAAATCTGGCTAGAAATCTGGCATGCCATGAGAAGGCAGCAAATTGCCAGAGAGCATTCCATAGGTGGAAAGAGCTTGAGATGAGACTAAGGTTAAAGGCCACCATAGATGATCAGCATCAAGAGGAGATTGCGTTAGAGTCTCTTTACTGTTAAAACGTTCTGAAAAAGCTCATTGCTGTTGTGAGAATGCTTGCTACCCCAAACCTAGCACTGCATGGCACTTCAGATCAAACTGTATGTGCCAAACAATGGAAACTTCCTTAAAATTGTGGAGCTGATGGCCGAGTTTGATGCTGTACTCCAGGAGCATTGAAGAAGAGTGTCCACCCAAGAAATGTATACACAAGATTGTGGCAGATCTGAAGTCAGCAAGATATTACTCTGTTTTGGACCGCACACCTGAGAGCAGCCATACAGAACAAATTACTTGAACGGTGCATTTTGTAACAACAACAGAACCTAGTGAAAATGTCCCTGCAATGGTGACTGTCAGAGCATTTTCTAGAATTTATTGACATTGATGATACTACAGGAGCTGGTATGACAAATGTGCTTCGTAAAAAGCTGGAAGATACGGGAATTGCGATAGCTGACATGAGAGGTCAGGGCTACAATAGTGGTGCCAACATGAGAGGAGAAAACAGAGGAGTGCAGACACGGATCCGAGAGTTCAACCCTCAAGCTTTTTTGTCCCATGCAGTTCTAATTCATTGAACTTGGTGGTCAGTGATGCAGCATCAGCTTCTAGTGAGGCTGCTGAATTTAATATAATTCAAAGCATCTATGTATTTTTCTCCGCATCAACTCATTGATGGAAAATTTTGAAGCAACATCTGGGAACATCTTCTCTGACACTGAAACCACTGAGTGCCACAAGTGGGAAAGTTGAGTGGAGACAATAAATCCTATCAAACACCAAATTGGGAAGATAGATGATGCCATAGTTGCCATTATGCAGGATAATGCTATAACAGGAACTGTTTGTGGGAGAACAGTGGCAGAGGGACATGGAATCACCAGAAACATACATAACTTCAAATTTCTGTGTGGCTTAGTGTTGTGGCATGATATACGGTTTGAAATGTTGTAAGCAAGAGACTCCAAGGTGTTGACCTTGATATATCTGGAGCAATGGAACAATTGGACAAAGCAAAGTCATACATACAGTCTTACCAGTCAGATGAGGGATTTCAAAATGTTCTGAAGAGTTCACAGAAGTTGGCAGAGGAACTTCACACTGAAACTATTTTCCCACCCATTCAAGAATACAGGAGTTACCGAAGAAGATGACATTTTGATTGAGGCACAGGATAATCCCATGAGAGACCCCAAACAACAATTCAAAGTTGAATTATTTACCCAGGTGCTAGATTGTGCAATACAGTCAGTTGAACGTTTCATTCAGCTCAAGGAACACAGCAGTATATTTCGGATGTTGTATGATGTTCCAAAATTCCTCACTATTCCCGAAGAAGACCAATACCAGCAATGCAGAGCACTAGAGACAGTGTTGACATATGATGACATGTACGATATTGATGCGAGTGATTTAGGTGATGAACTGAAAGCCCTTTCAAGATACATTTCAGCAGGATCAACTTCAAAGGCTGTTCTAGAATATATGTGCACAAATAAGATGACCACCCTCTTTCCAAATGCTTTTGTTGCTCTGCGCATGCTTCTAACATTTCCTGTAACAGTTGCCAGTGGAGAACGCAGCTTCTCCAAGCTGAAGTTAATAAAAACACCTCTACGCTCCACAATGACACAGGAGAGGCTGGTCGGCCTTGCAACCATCTCAATAGAGCATGAGCTGGCCCAGACTGTGGACCTTCAGGAAGCAGTCAAATCTTTGCAATCGAGAAGGAACAGAAAGCCCCACTTTGGTTATTCAAGCAGATAAAAATGCCAGTGTTTACTGTGCAGACAAGAAAAGTTACATTTGCTGTTCAGGTGTTTGAAAGTTAAATGTTACTTAAAATGCCTTGTTCAAAACCTTTTAAATTTGTTGGGGTAGGTAGGAGAGCAGTACCATGAGAGGAGTAGAACAGGAAGAAGGCAGAACTGAGACCTTTCAAAGTTTTGGCCCAAGCGAGGGGGAAGGAGGCGTCATTTGAGCTCCCCGCCTCAGGTGCCAAAATGTGGGCCGGCTCTGTTTAGAGTGGCTTGACTGGAGGGCCAACTCATTTCTATATGGAAGGAGTAGGCTGAAAAAGTTGTGTGGAAACTGAAGCAGAGCTACCACATTGCCATGTCCAGCCCTGAGGAGGTGCACAGTGATAAGCAGCTTGTATGATCACAAAGGGGTTCTTTGTTTTTATTTTGCAGCAATCGCTGTCTTCAGTTAAAATTAAGCAAGGCACAAATAAAGTGGCACCAGATTTCCAGCTCACCAAGAGAAGAAACAACTTTGGTGTTCCCCTTGAGATTCTTGCACAAGAGGCAACACAATGCCAAGTTCCTTTTGTTGTGACACAAATGGTGGAATACCTAGAAATGTTTGGTAAGTTGATTACTTGTTCTGCTTTCTAGAAACTTTTAGTCAAAATAAAGAGCTATAATTAATTTGCTTTGGGTAAGCAGGACCACAAAGGAAAATTGCAGCTAATGGGAGAACATGTAAATTTCCACTCTTTTTATAAACAAGTCTAAGTGGATTTTGATTGGGTTGGTTTAGAATGAGGAAAAGTGACCTGCTGAGTCAAACTCCCTGGATATCAACCAAACCAGAGTTGAAAACTCCTTGTGGAGTTAAAGGGTGGTAATGAAGGGACAGTAATTAAAAACAAAACCAAACAAAAAAACCCTGGAAATACTGAATTAAACAACTCTCTTTTGGGGTGTGTGAGATTGAACAATTAACTTATTTGCTTCCAAAATGCAGTTTTCAGGTCTCTGGAGACACTATCTATAAACTGTGTTTTAATTTTCCTCCTTATGTATTTTATAAAAAATGGTTATTTCATTTTAATAGGCCTGGATCACGTAGGTCTATTTCGAATCAGTGGCTCAGTGAATAAAATCAAAGCACTGAAGCAGAAGTATGATCAAGGTGAGAAGGTGGACCTCATTAATGATGGTGACATTGATTCTGTTGCAAGCATCCTTAAACTTTTCCTCAAGGAGCTTCCAGTGGCTGTTTTCCCAGACAACTTACAGGCTAACCTTCTTAAAACCTTTGAAGGTAAAACAAAGGCTAAATTAATTTGAAACTTCCATGGTATTGCACCTGGGATTACTTTTTTTGTCCAGAAATGGCTGACTAGTGTACACACAGCAGAATTTAAACACTGTAATCAACAAATGTGTGAGTGTTTGCATAACTTCACACCTTAAAGGGTGGTCATTTCGTGGATTCTCCTAGTCAGTGTGTCCAATTGACTTACAATAGAACCTCCGTTTTGAACACCTGGGGAATGGAGGTTGGTTGTAACTCTGAACAAAACAGTATGGTGGTTTTTCAAAAGTTTGCAACTGAACATTGACTTAATACCTATTTGAAACTTTACTAGGCAGAAGAAAAATGTTGCTTTTAACCATCTTAATTTAAATAAAACAAGCACAGAAACAGTTTCCTTAGCTTGTCAAATATTCTTTAAACTTTTTCCCTTTGTTTAAAATAGTATATGCCGTATTTGCTTCCCTCCCACTGCTGCCTGATTGCGTACTTGTGGCTCAAAATGAGGCGTGTGTGGTTGACCAGTCAGTTCGTAACTCTGAGGTTCTAGTGTATGTTGGAAATGGCGTTCAATTTACAATTATCCAAGACCATAGTTATTGCCTTAGCTCTTGCACAGTATTGAGCTAGCACAGCTAAAGTATTTAGGGGTTTCAATCATTCTCATCCCATCCCTCCTATTAAAGTGAGTCGTGTTTGTGAACTCATATTTACCATTAAAATGTTCATTTTTGGTGCAGGGAAAGTGAAAAGATGAATGTCATTGGACTTGGAATTTTAAACCTCTCTTCTGTAACTGCAGTACTATATTTATGGTGGAAAATACCCTGAAACTGTAAATGTTACCAATTAGTAGGGAAATGAAGACTGATATGGTGCTGAAAGGGTATAATTTCCCAGCCTTTTCTGAGTATGAGTCACACAGCATGTGGCAGATCTCCAGCGAGAGTCACAACTGACAATCCTCCCACGGCTTTTTCCATAAGGTCTTTGGTTATCATGTATAGCCAGTTGGTAATGTCTTACACTCTCCACTAGAAATAACAGGAAACGCTATATTTTCTTGCCAGGAGAGGAGGACTGCCACAGATACAGGATAGAGTCCAAAGACCTAGAGTGCTCCATAGGAAATTCCAGTAACTAGGGAAATGTTCATAGTTTAAAGCTAATGTGAAATAATTAGAGGATTAGTCTGAAAATTACTGGCTTTAGGCATATATGCTCTTTTTTCCCTTAGTATCTTTTCTTTTTTTTTTCTTTCTTTTTTTTTTTTTTTTGTTGAGGGAAACCTTTACAATAGAGTAAATTGTGTAGTAAAACTGGTATATACCTGGTAAGCTTGTATATATGTGGCCATGCTGGATGCTTAGAATACCCATCTGTTAGTAACTGAATTAAAACTTAATTCTTCACAGATAATAAGAACCACATGGCTGAGTGTACACAATATCTGAAAAGGTTATTAAGCAGCCTGCCTAAGGCCCATTACAGCCTTTTCCAGTTCCTCTCTACCTTTCTGTTGAAGGTGGCATCACACAGTGAAATGAATCACATGACCCTGGAAAACCTTGCCATTGTATTTGGGCCCACCCTTTTCCAGTAAGTATTTTATTTATTTAGATTTATTTTACAGCTGTTTTTGCTTGTATTCTTGGATCCCTCTCTTAAAAACAAGAACAGCAGTAATCAGAGATATTGATGAAAGAACCTGCTGTACACTGTGGAATGAATGAAAGAGAAGCAGAGCTATACAGAATGTTGATATAGAAGCCTCATGCCCACCCCAAAATCTGAGTGCATCTGCCTGGAACATCAGCACAGGTCCAAAGGCTCAGCTGATGTGGCTTTACCCTGCCCAGCATGGGCACTCTTCATTTGCCTCCTTGTTCTCAGGCTGGGGGTGAGTAAGTGGCCTACCCCACCTCTTCAGTGCCCTCATGGGTGCTGGAAGTTCCCCTTTTTCTGCAGGTGGCACCAGCTTCAGGGTAGCCACCCATTAAGGGTTCACTTCCCCCTCTTCTGATCCCAAATGTCTTCAGAGGTGTTAGGAAGCCACCAGACCCCTCTTTCCCTCTGAGGGCAGCAGAGGTGGAGAAACACCGACTCATGCCTCTAATTTAAAAGCAGCGGGTGTGGACATCCCAGAAACCTTTAGTATTGTAGTTAAGGAACCCTTAGTTGGTTCCCTAGCAAACAGTGTTAGTCACCATGGGGTACCTAAGAGTGTAAGGTTGCTAGGGAACTTACCTTAGTGGTTTACTAGCTACAGCACTAGGAATTCTGCGAAGTCCCAGGCCCAGCTTTCTCTGGGAGGAGGCAAAAGCTTCTGAGGAAGCCAGCTGAGGTTCTTCTGTGCAGAGTGATTCTCAATGGTACTGCCTGGTGTGGTAGACCAGATCCTAGTTGTCTTGGGGACGGTAGGGAACTTAAACCATGCACTATTCCCTGTATATTTCTCTGAGTAATACTAAGGCTTGACTATTAGTACACTCCACAACTGTTCTATAAACTGTCAGCCAATCAAGTTTCTGGAAGACTGACACTAACTCCATTTGGTATAACAAGGAGATCTTGACTTTTTTTTTTTTTTTTTTTTTTAAAGATTAACATTTACTGATTTGAGTCAACATGAAGATTTGTTTTCACTACTGTGTGGGTGCATATATCAGTCAGCTACTAAAAACTTCTCCCCTCTGGCCTTCTGCACTCCCTTTCCCCGGCTTCCTTTCACCTGGTACACAGTAGTTTTGCAAAAATGTGTGTAATGCTTTTGCAAGAATATCCATCTTCCTCTTTCTCTAAGAAAGTCCTGACCCTGTTTTGGTTCTCTCCATTGGTTTTCCTTAGCTTGCTGTATGTGACTTAAGCACCTTCTCCCCTTGCTTAATGGACCCTGCTTACCTCTTCCCTCTACCTACTTTTTTCTATCAAGTTCCCTATGTTTGGAACCACCTCCATAACCCCATCCTCTCCTCCCAGTCCTCTTCTAAAATAACTTTATTTCCAGAGGCCTATAAATCCTGGCCCTTTTCCTCCAAGGGAGTGGAAACTACCTTCTCACAATGAAAACTAACAGGAAAATAACTCAGGCTGTGAGACCCTCAAGCTTTATCCCTCTGCTTGCTGCTGCATTATTTGCTTTGCATATGGGCTTGAAAGCTCTTCAGGTATGGATCTTCTCTTCCTATCAATAAAGCAGAAGATACACTGATATTATATGAATAATAGAACTGGTTCAAAAACATGCCAACTGTTCTTCACAGGAATTTTTTTGTATTGAGTGGAAAAACTAAACACAACCTCTTCCCCCAGCAACTTGCAATGTTTAATTGGTATTTGTGTATTCTATTGGATGCTTTTCTCTGTTTTTCTTTAGTTCATTAGTTTTTTAAAGGTATTTTAGTCATCTAGCTGCAGATGAGCACCTAGCAGCATTTTCAAAAATACCTGGGGTCCAGATTCACTGCAGAACTGCTAGGGGCCTTGCCACCCAGTGTAATGGAGAGCCCTCAGGTGCCTAGATTTCTCCAACAATACGTGTGTGTGTGTGTGTGTGAGGGGGCATCTAACAATGGGATCTCCAAAAACCAGCACAATTAGAGGGGAACTCCTAAGTTCATCTCTTGCAAATGTCTAAGCCCCACCACTCTCAGGGACTTAGTCCTAAGCCACTTTTCCAAGAGGCACCAGGGTGGGAGATGGTGGCAGACACCTCCCTTATCTTGCCCAGGATGTGGGAAATGCATTCGACTCCTTCCTCTGCAAAATGGCACAAGGATGTGGACTTGGGTTTACCACCTTACAGGTGAGTGCCCTAACCACTGGGCTATGGACTCATTCTCACTTTCTCTGGCCCAACAAATATTTATACACCTTGGAAGTCCTTCCATAGGAGAGGATCACCCCAGACTGTTCACAAACTGGAGGCTAGGGCACTCACCTGAGCAGTGGGAAGGCTACATTCAAATTGCTGCTTTTTGGTGGGCAGAGTTTGAACCTGGGTTTTCCAGAGTCTGTGAGTGTGCTAACCAGCAGACTCAAGTTATGAGGGAGGCTGCTGCCTCCTTAATCCCCAGCTATTTTGTGAGGATTTAGGTATATACTTAAAACACCTACCAGATCAGTAGTTGCAGACAAGAGGGCTGGGGGAACACCTAGTACAGGATCCTTCTGGGGTTTAGGTACCCAGCCAGTGCAACTGAGCTAGCTGTGCCTATGCTCACTGGCAGAAATTCAGGCACCTCCAGTATTAGGCAGCAGCTGAGCAGGGCTTTTGGGGATCTCAACAATGTCTAAATGTTAGACTTAAGTCCTTTTACGGATCTGGTCCTAGGCACCTATGTGCTCAACTTCATTGATTTTTAGGTGCTTTGAAAATCCCACTAAGTGCCTCTGTACGTCTTTATCCCTAAACACCTTTAAAAATCTGGACATGAATGTCACAGCATGAACTGGCCCTTTATGAGGATTGGGGCTCAGCTGCATATGGGCCATGTTTAGATTGCTTCTCCAGTGGAGTGAATGAATGCTTACATCACGTGATGGCGTGGGGGAAGAGAAAGATGTGCTTATGAGCAAAGTGTGTGGAGAGGAGAGCTGGATGTCAGTGCTCTCTAAAGAGCAGGAGAGGGGGGAGTACAGGAAGAAGCACTGGGAAGAAGCAGGGCAGCTTTCAGAAAGCCTTTGACGACGTCCCTCATGAAGGGCTCTCAAGCAAAGTAATGGGGTCCTGTCATGGATCAGTAACTGGTTAAAAGATGGGGGAAACAAAGGGTAGGAATAAATGGTCATTTTCAGAATGGAGAGAGGTAAATAGCAGTGTCTCCCAGAGCTCTGTACTGGGACTAGTGCTGTTCAACATATTCATAAATGATCTGGAAAAAGGGGCAAACAGGTGGCAAAATTTGCAGATGCTAGGAAATTACTCAATATAGTTAAGTCCAAAGCAGACTGCAAAGAATTACAAAGCAATATCATAAAACTGAGTGAGTAGGCAGCAAAATGACAGATGAACGTCAATATTTATAAATGCAAAGTAATTCAAACTGAAAAACATAATCCCACCTATACATAGACAATGACAGGGTCTAAGTTAGATGTTGCCATTCAAGAAAGATGTTAGATTCATTGTGGATCGTTCTTTAAAAACACAGCCTTTTTGGACTGCTGTTGTACCTTGAGCAAACAATGTTAGGAACCATTAGGAAAGGGATTGATGATGATACAGAAAATATGACACTGCATAAATCCATGGTACACCCCCACCTTGAATATTGCATCCAGTTCTGGTTGCCCCATCTCAAAAAAGATATATTAGAATAGGAAAAGACACTTATTTTTGTTGCCCTTCTCTGTACATGGAACAGTTTCTAAATGAGGAGAGATTAAAAAGACTGGAATGTTTCATCTTGGAAAAGAGAAGTGTGGGGTAGGAAATATGACAAAGGTCTATACAATCATGAATGGTATAGAGAAAGTAATAAGGAAGTGTTGTTTACTCTTCCCATAACACAAGAACTAGGGCTCACCTAATGAAATTAATAGACAGCAGGTTTAAAACAAACAAAAGAAAGTACTACTTCACACAACACACAATCAACCTGTAGAACTCCTTGCCAGCGCCTGTTGTGAAGGCCAAAACTATAAAGGGGTTCAAAAAGGAATTGGACCTGTCTTCCATGGACTTATCTATAAATGGCTATTAGCTAAGATGGTCAGGGATGCAACCTTATGCTCTAGGTGTCCCCTCTGATGGGAGTGGGCGCCAGGGGCTGGATCACTTGGTGATTCCCTGTTCTGTTCATTCCCTCCAAAGCACCTGGCATTGGCAGCTGTCAGAAGGCAGGATACTGGGCTAGATGGATCATTGGTCCAATCCAGTATGGCTACTATGTTCTTAGCTTGAATTATGAGGTGGAAGAAACCAGTAGTTTAGGGTCCCCAGGACTGGGAACTCATAGTGGAGGATGGATTTAGGTTTTTCCTACGCTACCACCCTCTGAGGAGCTACAGCAACCTATGCTACTGATTGGAGGGGGAAGGGATTGACTGACCCCCCCCAAGAGGTTTGGAAGCTGAGTGTGGGAGAAAGAGAGTGATAAGTGTGCTGTAGAAGAGAAGACCCTCACTAAGGAAAGGGTGGTCCCGGTGAAACTGGGGTGGAAGGTGTTTGGGTTTCTACTGACACTCAAGAAAGGGTGGACCTCTGACTAGTCACTTCAGCAGCCTGCGTGTACTGAAGGCTGAGAGAACTGTGCTGAGAGTAAACTGAGACTGTGACAGGCTCAAAGCCAGGCTGGGTAGATGCCTGTTCTACTTCCCAATGTCCGTTTTGGAGTTTCTTCTAACAATCCCAGACTGATCGGCAGAAATGAGCAGCTGATATTGCTGAAAATGGCTTGTGGACATCCCTCCCAATTTTTATTTATTTAGTTAGTTAGTTCTTACAGTCATGCAGCACCCCATGTTTTCCTTCTTGTGTGTTTGAAGTTCTTCCACAGGGTATGGCAGAAACTTCTTTGTTCATCTGCTTTACTATTAAATAAACTAGATAGTTTACAAACTCTCCTGCTGCTTACAGTGTGCCCCACTTATGTTCCAGGTGCAAATTCTTGCCATGATGATCGCCTGTCCTAATCTAATGATTTCTATGGCTATAGACACCTGTCACATGCATAGAATCAATGGTGGGAGTTGGAGCTTAATATTCAGAACGTGGAACGGAGGACCCAGAGACTCAGAATATAAAACATGCCACTGTGTTTACAATTTACAATGTATAGAATCTGAACTGTATATCCTTAGTCACTGTGATCTAGTACAATTCCACTGTGGAAAAAGTAACACTTTGTAAGACTGATATTAAATGGGAAGACAGTCCCAGGATCATTAAAAATGTATGAACATCATGTGACAACATTGCACATTAGATTACAGGAAACTAATGTAATGATTGATGTTGAAACCCATGAATACTTCATAGGCTGATGTCTTCCACTTTCCTCTCAGATTCTGACACCTGGCTTTGCCTCATCACCCTCTCCCTCATCCTTAGCGACTTCAGCTTTCCCTTCTGTGTCCTGTCACCTTCTTGTTTAGTGCTTGATGCTGGTCCAACTCTTCCATAGTTCAGACTGGCCATTCACTCAACCTTGTTTTTGCTAAACATTGCTTGTTCTCTGATCTTTCCCTCCCCAAGTTCCCTGTAGTCACCCTCTTCTCCCCCTCCCCCCCAATCACCTAGTAATATTTCCCACTTGCTTTCATCTCTTCTCATCCCTTCTGTGTCCTCCAATCCATCCATAGCAGCTGATTGAAACAGTAGGTGGATCTCTCACTCTGCTTTTAGGAGAGAAGCATTCCTACAAGTAGCCCTTGACCTTAGCTCCTGCTCAACACCTCTAGATTTCTGGACTGGTACCAAGCCCTATGCCTTTACAAGTAGGGCTTGTCAAAATCTTTGCAACTTTGGTTATGAATAAAATTTCTATGAAGACTCTCCAAACAATTACCAGAGTGAAAACTTGTGGGGTTTAGTTGCCAAAAAGAAAAACTTCTCAATGTTGTGGGGCTTTTTGGTGTGTTTTGTTAACAAAAAGGAAACCTCCCAATTTTATGACCAGTTCTAGTTGTAAGATTACCAGTTTATCACCTTTTACTTTTTGGTTTGATATCTAGGCACAGTCTCCACACACTCACTAGCTTAGCACCACTTGGGGGGAGGGATAGCTCAGTGGTTTGAGCATTGGCCTGCTAAACCCAGGGTTGTGAGTTCAATCCTTGAGGGGGCCATTTAGGGATCTGGGGCAAAAATTGAGGATTGGTCCTGCTTTGAGCAGGGGGTTGGACAAGATGATCTCCTGAGGTCCCTTCCAACTCTGATATTCTATGATTCTATGGTCATCCTACTATGTGTACTTCTAGCTTGTTGGGGTGATAAGGCACAGGGCTTGGTAAATTTAAATACTTTTGGGTTCAATATGGCACATTTAATTTGGGATAAAACAATCTAATGATTCCCATGGATCTCTTTTTAATTGCCTCCAAACTATACATTGTAGTGGTGATCTCCTCCTAACACCACTTGTCTTCAACACAAATTGATAGTTTAAAAAAAAAAAAAGTCAAAGGCCAAGGGAGATTCTTAATCCTGTTTACTCAGTAGAACAACTTTACAATAGTTGTATTGTCTCTAGGAATATGTTCCTGGATCTGATTTGTTAACTAGATTCTTTTTATAAAACATGCGAATTTACAGGTGTGTCATGGCTCTACTACTCAGCAGCAATATCTGAAAAGGAGTATTTTGTTCTTAAGCTACTTAAAAATTAGAGCTAAATAAATATCTTCCATGAATTTTAGAGTTTGAACTCTAGACCTGAACCAAGATTCACATTTCACAATTAATCTTTGAAGAATGGCCAAACTGAATTTTAGTCTCAAAATCCCTTACTCCCCTAAACTTGCAAATATGGACCCTTTCACAGTCCAAGCTGGCCTTTTAGGAGGAGTTCAAAGTCCAACACTGACCTGTTCCTGGTTCAGCCCAGAACAGAGCATTGTAATTCCCATAGCATGTGGGAACTGTGAGCCTAAGAACAAGGTCTCCTGAGAAATAATGTGGAATGGACACAGGCTTTTTCCTCTCTGTATGTGAAGAAACTGGACAAAATCAGTGTTGGGGCTCCTAGCTGAGGGAGTGGCATAGGATGGACTGTGGGGAAAAGAAGTTTGGGAGGGTATGTTTATGCACTAATAGCAAAAGCCTGGCATGGACTTTGGGCACGTACTCGACAGAAGTAGGAGCGTAAGGTCTGATCTACACTATTAAAAATTAGATCAAATTAGCTACGTCGCTCAGAGCTGTGAAAAATTTTGCACCCTGAGCACTGTAGTTAGGCCTATCTAACCCCTGGTATAGACGTGACTAGAATTGTTCCATCAACTTCGTACTGCCTGAAGGTGATGGAAAAACTTTCGACATCGATGGAAGAGTTAAGTACGCTACTGTGTAAACATGGCTTAAGTCTAGACAGGAGTATGTTCTGTGTTAGAGAAAGGGCTGCTTGTGTGGGCTGAACCATGCCGCAGCATGTGAAGGTTTTGGTGTTTGGATGGACTCTTTGAGCCCTCACAATCTGCAGAGAAGAATGTGGCCCAGGCACTGAGGACCTGGGTGAAGGACTTCTTTGTCTGAGGTAATTTTGGCTTGTCTGTCATCTTCTGGACTTCCCCGCCCTCCAGAAGGGGAGGGGCTTAGTTTGGCCAGAGGACTAAACTACCCAGAGTGAGGAAAGTGAAGCATGGCAGTGTCCTGATAGTGAGAGGTAACGGGTCCCCCCTCAAATCCATATGGCCATTGTTGTTCAATCCTGAAGTTTTTCTAAGACAAAGTTCTCAGAGTTCAAGGGGAGTTTTACCGCAGGTAGACAGGAATTAGGCACTGGAACTAAGCCCCAATATGTACATTTGTATGTTTAAATCACATTTGAATAATCAATGTGCTTTCTGATTTGCCAAACAAGAGTGGTGTGTGTATTTGTACTTAATTTCCAAGAGTTTGTGAATTTCTTGTTGGAATATTAATATTTAGTGGAATCAGGAGTTGGTTTAGCACAGTGCATGAAGCTGAATTAGCTCTAGTGCTTATGTAAATGCCCATACCGTCTCAAATACTTTATGGGGAAAAATGTACAGTTCCTTCAGGAAACAAAATTACCATGGCACTAATGAATCCCTTGGTTTTAATTAAATGATTCAGAGAATTATCTACAAGTAGATAAACCATAAGTTCAAATACTACTTGAAAAAATATGATACTGTTACTGGGATTTCTGCATGTTTCCATTATGTTTAACGATAACTTTATTACATCCATTATTAATATAATGCAGCTTCAGAGGATGCATTGGAACACAGCTTTTTTTTTTCTCATGCCACTTTTAGACTGTGTCCTGCATTATGGTGCTTCCATGGAAGTTAAGTATGATTTGACAAGATTGCACAGGGTTGTTATCCTATGGACCCTCACAGAAAGATGTGTAATATGACTTTAGTGAGAAAAATTTGAGATCACTTTTTAAAACATTAAAAACTTAGCGGTGGTGGCTTTCTATATTTTGTCCTTTTAACAGTATTTTCATGAACAAGTTGGTCAGTGCCAGGCCCCTGCTAACAGGTTCCTACTACTTGTTTCTTTGTACTACTGCAGTGCATAAAGGCCACCGATTGAGGATCAGGGCTCCTTTATGCTAAGCATATACATGCCTGTAATTAAAATATAGTCCCGGTCATCAAGAGCTTTTTAACCGAGATCATGTCCTAGAATATGTTGGAGAACTGGATAAAATCACTTGCTTTGAAAAATTCTCCAGACCACAAGAATGGGATTCATGGATAACTGATCAATAGATCATAGTCTGAGCACTAAGAAACTTAATCTATTTACTTTTCTCCTGTTTAGAATTCCTTTCAGTCCTTTGGCTCATGAAAAACAAATGCTTTGTAATGCACTCCTGCTGTATTTGCTCCAGAACCATGAGATGCTATTTGCAGACTCTGACAGCCATTTGTCACACACACAAGGAGACAACACTGAGGTAGGAAGATGATGATTGATTCTAACAGATAATCAAAGGTGCTTCATTAGGTTGTAATGTATTTCTACCTTAGGCTTGTATATTCAAGCAGTAATAAATCACTATAACTATACCCTGACAAAGTGAATATCAGTTGCATGTCTAATCTACAAGGGAGACTTTATATGTTTATTTTCTAAAGAATGTAAATGAGAGTTAAAGCTCAAGAATAAAAATCACCACATTTTTCTACTTGAAATATCCTATAGCAGCATTTCCTTGCCCGCAGAATTTTCATAGGTAACTCTTTTCTTTTATCTCCTATACAGTGATGACAAGCAAAGGCAGAAGAGTAAAAATGCCTTTTCAGAAGCTATTGAGTAAAGACGCACTTTGACTGTCCTTAGGCATGCACTGCTATAGAATAATATTGGTTCTTCAATGTCTCCTTGTTGCATTGTGTTTGTCAAAACAGTTATGATTTTGCACTTAGTATGGATGACTTTCCTTCTATAATAGTACTGGTCTATGTGGGTAGTTTTTTTCAAGTTCCTTCCATTATGTATTGTTGCTGTTCAATATAGATCTTTTTAGAAATCCATTGTAGGAGGGTAGAGTAGCCCAAGGTGTTAACATAGTGGTTAAATCTAGGTTCATAACCTAATGTTAAATCATGAAATTACTATACAGCGTGACACATCTGGCTGCTCTGGGCTGGTTTACCAGGGGCTTTGCAGATTAGGACTGAATCTTGAAATATAAGATGTGCCACACTATGAGAGATGTGCTGTCCAAGAGGTCTGCATTGTGTCAGGCTCTAGGCACTGCTAGAGATTCCTCACTTTCCTGAGCTCCAGCCATTGTTGGTATTGAGGGATGGGGGTGGAGGGAGGGCTAGAGCGAGGGAACCTAGCAGACTTTTACTTTAAAGCTAAGATTTATATTATTTTTCACATGTATTGTACAGTCCATCTCAGTACTGGAAGCATTAACTCTCTGCAACTATCTATCTGGGAATAATGTCACAGGGCATGTTAATTACTTGCTGGGGACAAAGGAAAGGTGAATAACAACATTTTAAGTTCTGTGTTTCCACGCTGTAGGACCTGGGTCTTAAGACCTCAAAATAGAATTGTTGCAGTCCAACATGCAGTATTCTTAGGCCCCAGCCTGATCCTGCCAAACTTTACTCCTGAAAGTAGCCCTTATTTACATTGCATTTCATTTCATCAACGTCAGTTGGGAATTCTTGCGTGAATTTGTACGGGATGCAGCATTAGGCTAATAGCTGCCTAGTTGTCTGCCTCTACCAACCAAAAGTGTCAAGAAGATAGGAAGTGCCAGCAATCAAAGCAAATCTGCAGTGAAAACACATAAGAAACAAGAGGCACTATAAAAGGCACCTCTTTTGCTTTGAAAGTTAATTTGTCACCCCCCCCCCAAATGTCTAGTCATTTCAGTCATTTCAGTCTGTCTAGGATTGTGATGATAGGGAAGTAGGTCCACTGAAAGGTCCTTTTAAGTTCTTTAATGAAGCCCCAAAATAGGGCACAGCTGTAGGGTTCTCTCACTCTGTCTGAGGTGAGCCTCTCAAAGAAAGTGTGTGTTGGGAGTCGACAGAGTTTGTTCTGTGGGTGATCTAATTTTGTTCTCATAAGTTATGGCAGGAGCATGTAGAGTTTTGGATAGGCATCCCTTCATATATTATTTGTCTAAATAACTGCTTAAAGTTCTTTAGACCTAAAACCAAACCCGGTAAAAGTCCATGCACAGGTTTCATCAAAACACTAATCGGCAAACCAGGTACATTCCTTGGAATGGAACTTAACTTTCATACCTTCTCTTGCAGAAAGGATTCTTTTCTTACACCAGTTACTCTCATAGAGGTTTACACCAAGAGAAGGGGAAGGTGTGGTGTGGTGGGGAAGGGGTTTGTCCGCTCAAGGTGATGCTGCTAGTGTTTCTTTACATACCTATATTAATAGAGTTTTAACGAACTCCTACCACACAGAAATTCCAGACATAGGCATAGCTTTCTCCAGGCCCTGATGAAGAATCTGAGATAAGTAAAAAGGACTTGTCACTCTTTGCCTGGAAAAGTACTTAAGTATGCTATCCAATCCTATAACACCCTTCCTCCAGAGGAGTTCTGTATGGGCAAAAGACTCCCACAGAGTTCCAGGGAACTGGTGCAATTGGGACTGTCTGGAACTGGATGGAATGACATGTGAATCCAAGTGCTCTCCCACCACAGGCTCTGAAGAACTGATGCATAGAGATGACAATATTTTTAAAACCTGAAGAAACTTTAAATAATCCAATTTAAACAAAAACATGTAGTCGCAAGTGTCACTAAACATTCCTGACCATTTCTGTTCACTGTGGTTGCCTGCAGGCATGGTGATGGTGTTGCATTACAATGTGCTGCCTGGATTGCATGGGCACTGAGTATAGGAAGCCAAAGCTTTATAATCTTCGTCAACACTCACAAGCTGCAGGAATACTGAGAAGTCACTTCCTCTTCCTCACAATATTTTAGAAAGGAGACTGGACACTTAAGTGTGTGTTTAACCTGAGGCCTTTCAAGCCATGTCTTTGTTTTACCATATAGCATATCACTAGCTGCATGGGATGGACAAGATTAATTTAATTTCACTAGGTAGAATAGCTACCAACCCAACCTTGTTACAGCACTTTGTCACGCTCTTTTGCGCCCACTTCTCTGTGTGGGTGTCAGATTCTACTGCAATCTCTTTCCTACCCACTGCTGCCCTTGACCTGTCTAGAACACATCTCAAAAATCTAAATGAAGAGGTGAATTGCCAGGCTTGCTTGCTTGCTCTCCCCATCTCTGTACAACAGCCACAGAGATTCCTCCCCCAAAATAGTGTCAGTTGCTTTGGCTAGCTAGCAAGTATAAAACTGAGCAGAAATGTGACCTGTCTGTCTGTCTTTCTGCATTCAGGAAAGGGAGCAATTGGAGGGAATGACTACAGCACTAGAAACAGGTTTCCTGGCCAGATTTTTCTCTTATCTTCCTTCTTATATATGTTTGGCCTCCTTTATCCTATGTTGGTAGAGTTGAATGTTGAGGGGACTGCATGCTGAGTTGGTCAAACCTCACTCATCGCTGTCGCAATTCCAGAACTCATTACATGCCTTCTAGGAGACTATATGGAATATGATGATTCGAGCTGGTCAGAACGTTTTTGACAATATTTCACAGGGATGTATTGGTTTCAACAAAGTTTGGTCAGGAAGGCTTTTTGTGGTCCAGAACTCTGATCAGAGACTGAAAACCTGAGCTGCTTGATCCAAGAACAGACATTTTGACATCATTCATTTATTTCATCCACTTCAGGAAAATGTCCAAAAGGTGTTTTCCTTCCAGTGCAGAATAAAACAAATGTCAAAACCTCAAAAATTGCCATGAAACAAAAGCTTCAACAATGAATCTGACATACTGCTGTGCCACCAGTCCCGTGGCAAGTTAAATACTCCTTTAACTACAAAATGGCTTTGAAAAAAGCATCTCAATTTTCCAGTGGATTGAATTTGTGGAGCTTGGACTCAAAACGCTTTTGCCTATGTCTCTAGACTTGGAAAGAGGACCTCAGAGCTATTCCGATTGACAGCTATTGGAAATGCTCTGTTAGTTTAAATGGCTAGAGATCCTGATCATGAATGAATGATCTCTGTATTAATGCTAATATACATCACCATGGGCTGCAAAGCAACCCACTAAATATTTTCATAGGGACAGCTGATGTGGTGTTAAGGGACTTAATTGCACCAGCAGTGATTTTTTTTTGTGGGGGTGGGGGGCAGGGAGGAGTGAAAGTAAATTCTAGATGTATATTTCCTCTCACAGCTTCGTTAACATAATTGCAACCAGGAATCATTTAACACTGATTAATTTTGTGTTCTGCCTCAACCAAACCACCAGATACAAAAGCCCTGAATTTGGGGGAAGGTTTGATCCTGAGCTGGATCCAAATTTTTTGGCCCAGTTCCATCTCTAAGCTTGGTTGAGAACCATACCTGTTGAAGTGAACAGAGTTCTTTCTTTGCCTATTGCCCAGGCACCAGGTGTTCGGTGGTATTGTGACCAGGGTAGGCCAGGCTGCAGAAGCTGCTCTGGAGGTGCTGCTGGTGGTGGTGATCTTTCAGAAGATTGGATCTGGTGTCCCCCATGAAGCTCTTAGATCTGTCTGAGGCTTCCTTCAATTTATGAGGCACTAAAACAGCATTAATTCTATTGCCAAGCTAGTCTCTCAGGATATATATATATATATATATATTTTTTTTGTGGTAGCAGGAAGTAATTTGCCAGTATTTGAGAGTCACTTTGGTTATATAAGCTACTGGGTTTCTTGTTACTTGAAGGTACAAGTAGGCAATGGCTGCAGTGTGAGATAATGAAAAGGAAATATTGTTTTGTTTACACTTTTTTTTCAATGGATGTCTGCATGCTGCAGAATCCGCTGCAGCTTTGTGTTCCAATCCAGTTGCAGAGTGGGACAGGAAATTTTCTCTTTCTCTCTCTCATTGACTTTCTTTATATTTGTCCATTCTTTGACTTATTTCAGGTTAAGGAAAACATTTAGTCCACTGGGGGAGGGGAAATGTATCAGTGAAACCTACATGGAGGAAAAGTCCTTTGCTTATGCTTATGCTTATGTTTTTCAAAGGTAGGAATATGTTTCAGGTAAATAATACTTTAGCTTGTGCAAGTGAGATTCAGACAGTAACCTGAATGTGTTGTCTTGCTTGGACATTTAAAATAAAAACTAATGCCTAATTTGTTCTTTCTCTCTGGGTGGAAAGGAGGGGAAAAACTCAGCCAATCCTTGTGGAGTGTGTGTGTGACAGGGAGGTGCCAGTTCGGTAGACTTATTCCTACTGTGCCCCTGGAACCTACAGCTGACCATCCTGTGTGGTGGGGTTGTGCACTCTGGAAAGGGGCAGCGCTAAAGAGCAAGGTGATTGGTGAGGGAAGACAAAAAGGCGACAACCTCCTT